ATTTTAACTTATCAGAATCTGCTTCAGATTATACTAACTTAATTCCAATGAGTTATAGAAATGCTACTCTTATATAGCTCTATATTCTGTTCTCATTTTGTGTTATTATTGTTATACATATTATATCTATATAATATATTGTTATACATATTATATCTATTGTTATTATATCTATTGTTATTATTGTTATACATATTATATCTATATAATATATTGTTATACATATTATATCTATATATGTAACAAACCCAATAGTTATAATTTTTACTTTATGGAATTCTATACCTTTTAAAGAAGCTGAGAGAAGAAAGGAAAGCAAGTATGTATTTATAGATTTTGTTATATTAACCTTCTTATTTATCATTTTTGACTGTTTTTATTGTACCTATGAATTCAAGCTATCATCAGCTGATACTTCCTTATTCCAGTGCAGCTTTGCTCCCACCTACTGGTTTTGTGCTATTATTGTAAAATAAATACATTTCTATATGTATAGCACCACCAATACAATTTAAACACACACACACACACTACAATTGCTTTTAAAATTAGTTAAGAAAAGAAAGAAGAAGAAATATGAGTTTACACTGTTGTTTTTATAATTACAAAATTATCTACACTGGTACTCTTTATATTTTGTTTGTGGGTTTGAATTACTGTCTAGGCCATTTGCTTTCAGCCTAAAGAATGTCTTTTGCTATTTTTTGTGAGGTAGCATGCCAGCAAGGAATTCTCTTAGTTTTTGTTTATCTAGGAATGGTTTTATTTTACCTTCATTTTTAAAAAAACAATATTGCTGGATATAAGATTCTTGCTGACAGTTTTTTTTTTCTTTCAGAACTTTAAATATGTTATCTCACTGCCTCTGCCTTCATTATTTCTGATGAAAAGTCAGTTGTTAATCTCACTGGGGTTCCCTTGTATGTGACTAGTACTTTTCTCTTGGTGATTTCAGTATTTTCTTTATGTCTTTGGCCTTCAACATTTTTAAGACGATGTGTCTGGGTTGAATCTGTTTTTTTTTTCTCCTAATTGAAGTTTGTTTAGGGTCTTGAACATGTGGATTAATGTTTTCCATCAAATTTGGGAAGTTTTCAGGCATTATTTCTTAGATTTTTTTTTCTGTTTTCTTCTCTCTCTTTCTTCTCCTTCAGTTACTCCCATTATGCATATTTGGTATGCTTAATAATATCACACATTTCTCTGAGGCTCTGTTCATTTTTCTTTCTGCTTTTTTTCTCTCTGCTTTTCAAATTGCATAATCTTTATTGCTCTATCTTCAAGTTTGCTGATTCTTTCTTTTGCCCGTTCAAATCTACTACTGAGCTCTTCTAGTAAATTCTTCATTTTAGTTATTATATTTCTCAACTCCAGAATTTCCATTTGGTTCTTTTAAGAAATAATTTCTGTCTCTATATTAATATTCTCTATTTGAGTGGACATTGTCATAACCTCATTCACTTCTTTAAGCATAGTTTCCTTTAGTACTTTGACCATATTTATAACAGCTGCTTTGATGTCTCTGTTAATTTCCCTATCTGGGCCCTCTCACAGAGTTTTTGTTGCCTGTTTTTTTTTATTCTGTGGGTTATGCTTTTCTGTTTCTTTGCATGTCTCATAACGCTTTGCTGTTAAAATCTGATCATTTTAGATAATATATTTTAGATAATATATTGGAGCAACTTGGGATACTGATCCTGCCTTCCTCTCCCTCTACTCCTTACTACTGGCCAAGGCTTCTTGTTGTTTTTGGCTTGTTTAGTGATGTTGCTGGACTATTTTGTGAAGTGTATTTCCCCATAGTGTGAAGCCTCTGATTTCACTCCTCAGAGGTCACAGCCTTAGGTACGTGTACAGTCAGTCACCTGGGGTGACAGAAGTTTTAACAGGCCTCTCTTTAATTTTCACATTTCCTGATCTCTTTGCTGAGCCATCAGTCTCTGGTGGCATCTCACCCAGCTGTCAGGGTACACTAATTACTGGCTGCTTTTCTATTGTTTTTCTATAATACCTGGAGTATATAATGCTTCACAGTATGATACAGATAAATTTGGGTCCCTTTGTGGGATTGTTTTGAGTCCAGTCTTCGGGGTTTGTTCTGACAGTGGAAGGACTCTTCTTAGCTACTTGTTTTGTTTTGTTTTGCTTTCTCTGGTAAACTAGCTGGCCTACAGTTTAGCTTATTGTTCTCATGGAAATACCAGCATTATCACTTTATCTTTATTGTTTACCACCAAAATCTCATTGTTTTTGAGAGTTCCCTTATGCTTGAACTTCCCCACATCCTGTTTTAAATCAAGTTAGTTTTTTGGGGGTCGGGGGAGAGCTTCAGTACTCTCTGTTCTTCTGTACCTCTTCCTTTGGGCAAAATCTTTGAGTCACTGCTCCAGACCTGGGGGTAGGGACTGTGGCTGGCTTCTCTCAGAGCCCTCCTACTTTACACACCAGGGCTCTGGGTGGTGGCAGTAGCCTCTTGTCTTCTCAGGTTGCTGCTCTAGCATGGAACTTCTGATCCAAAGGCAATTGGGGCCTCAGTAATTTCAACCTGCATCGCCTGGGGTAGTCTCCACCTATGAGTGGGGACTGGGTGGAGGAGAGAAGCTTCCATTCTCTCAGCTGCACGCATCTACAATTTAGCCTGTGCGAAATGGGGGCTCAGGAATGCTGGTGGCCTGCCCCTTCTGGGGAGCCATTGTATTCCTTGACTGGGAGCTGGGTGGACAGGGAGCCGTGTTTTCCTGGCTACATCCATCCAGAGTGGAGCTTCTGTTAAGTGAGTTGGGGGGATGGAGGAGGGAGGAAGTGAGTCATGGCTCAAGTGTCATAGATTCTCATTGTTCCTATTGGGAACAATTTCCAGAGACTTTAAATGCTTAAAAAATCATTTAACTAGATATGAGTGTTTTGCTGGGGAGCTGGTCTGCAGAGCTCCTCATACTATCATTCTGGAAGTGGTCTCTGCTTTTTTCCTTTCTTCTTTTTTCTTTCTTCCCTTTCTTTTTCTTTCTTTCTGTGTGTAGTTTTTGTTTTGTTTTGTTAACCTATGAATCAACAGCAGAAGATGTCAGATGTAAGGAATGATGGTAGGATGTGGGATGCTGTTAGTAGGTATACCAGCTGATGTTGAAGACACTACTCTTAAATCAAGGAAAATATGATCAGAATAATAAATTTTTAAAGTATAGTGAACAAATTCTTCAGTAAGACTGAAGGTTAAAAGTAAAAAGTTTCAAAGCAATACTTTTCTTGGCTCTTCTTTATAAGAATTTATTGTCTAGTGAGCTACTAACCCTTTTTCTTTATGACTTGATTGCCCCCCATGCTAAAATACTTGCTATTTTACTTTTCCTTTCACTGACATTTATATTCCTTTGTCTTTTAGTAGTTTTACAAGCTTTGAAACAATGTTCAGACAATTTTAAAAAGTAAAAATAAAACAATGCTAAGGATAAAATGATTGATGTTTTAAATATTATATCAGCTGTTATAAGGCACTTTGTCCAATTTTCATAATAATTTTGTCTTCATTGTGTTAAGAGCAAAGATTTAAGATTTACTTTCTTAGTGCCATAAAAATAAGAGCTATTCAGCTGGGTTTCTGAAATATTAAGTGCAATGCAAAAGTTTGTTTGCCTAATATCCCAGGATATTTTGCCAAAATATCCTTCCCCAGACCACAGCCACATCTTCCTACTAGATTCCTGGGCAACTAGAAACAATGGTAAAGGAAAACAAGGTCACACTAATTTTTTTTTTTTTGAGACAGAGTCTTGCTCTGTCGCCCAGGCTAGAGAGCAGTGGCACAATCTCGGCTCACTGCAAGCTCCATGTCCCGGATTCATGCCATTATTCTGCCTCAGCCTCCTGAGTAGCTGGGATTACAGGCACCCACCACCACGTGTGGCTAATTTTTTTTCTGTATTTTTAGTGGAGATGGGGTTTCACTGTGTTAGCCAGGATGGTCTCAATCTCCAACCTCGTGATCCACCCGCCTCAGCATCCCAAAGTGCTGGGATAACAGGCGTGAGCCACCGTGCCCGGCTAAGGTCATACTAACTGTTAGCTGGGAGTGGATCCCAAACCTTTTGAAAGAACCCATCAGCTTTCCTTTAAGGAGGTAATGCCACAGACCACAGCAGATTGAGGGTTATTCTGCGAGCTTCCACTAAAGTTAAAACATGTGTGGAAGGGACAGAAGAGAGGATAACAGGTTTGCTGGCCTGTTTACCACTTGGGGAGATGTGGATGCATGATGAAGAAGAAAAAGAATCAAAAGGACTGGGGCTCATCACAGGTGGGAATAGTATAACATTAGCTCTTCATTCAGAGCCATGGTAGAAAAAAGAGAGAAAACTGCATCTGTGGACTGAATTATTCCTCTCAGCCCTCTACCCCAGTGTCTCTTCTTTTTGGGAATAGAGTAGAAAGCCAGGGAAATGGTGGGGATCTAGGAGGAAGCAGGCGTCTCCTCTGACTTGCACGTCCCCATATTTCACTGTCCTTTGGTAACTCACTGTGTTTGACAGCCACATCTGTGGTCAGCCAGGGGTGTAGCTACTCCTCTTGGTAGCTAATGGCCATAGAACACCAGGGGCGTCTTAAAGCCCCTTCTGTGATCCCTACCACTGCTCCTGGGTATACTCCCAGGGTCTGTTACATGGGTAACATGCACTTCGCAGCAAGATCTCCTGGAATGGGTTAGGACAGGAATATTAGGCAATTGCAAACCCATACTTCCCAGCATTCCTGTCTTCAATTGTGGCCAATTACATAGTTATGGCAGCCTTGTATTGTTACAATACAATCTTCCTCTATGCTTAGGAACCTCTATGGAGATGGTTGTGTTACTTTAACCAAAGATAAGAGAAGACTAATCTGCAGAATTAAAACAATTCCCTAGTTCAACAAATCAGTGCTGGTTTTCTTGCCAATAGGAGACGTGTTTGTATTTCTCCGTGGAAATCCTTGGGGTAAACATGTTGCTTGTTCTTCCAATAAAGAATTGAACCACCAGAGGGCCTCAGGCGACTCAGGAGGTTTGGAAGAGACAAAGGTACATGCTTAGAGGGGCTGGAGAAGGCGAGGGAGAAGGAAGGGAGCCAAGTTAAGCATGTGACTGACCAGGGGCTTTGGAAAAGACAAGCCCTGCAGGAAGGCAGGCATGTGGCCATTCTGTCTGTAGCCTCCTATTCCTCCCTGCTTTCCCCAGCTGCATCTACCTGGATCCTGAATTTGAACCAAGTGGTCCAAACGGCCTGGTCACCTGAGCATCCACTCTGCAGGAACCGCAGGTGAGGGCGGGGTGGCGGGGTGGGGGGAGCTCAGCGGCGCCATCTAGCGTCCAGCCAGCGATGGCTCTGGGAAAGCTCATTGTTTTCTTCGCCAGAGGAGGAAGGGAAGGTTGGTCCTCAGCACCTGGACGCCTAGTAGACGAGAGGGGATGACATGATGAGTAAAATAAGGAGAGGAACACGCCAAATCCCCTTTCATAATGATAGGACCACGCCAAATCCCCTTTCTTTTTAAAATTTGACATATACTTTTGAATATATATGTATTCTTATAAAATATGGTTATCTGGCATGTATTTATGTATATTGATATAAAGCTACATATTTAAAAATAGTACTTCTTTCATCTCTCTCCATCCCTATGGTCTTCGTTGTTTTCAGTAAAATGATAATTTCTGGATTACTTAGATGTTGCTATTATGATCCAACCCTTGAGTAAGGGAAGTTGAGAGCTGGTGAAACATCCCTGTCAATATTTGTTCATGCCATATTTCCTTTGAAAGAGTTTGCAGATAAAGGCATCAAATAACTGAAAAAGTAACAAGTTTACCATCTTTTACTTGAGAATTTGTATATGTATTTTTAAGAAAGCTTTTTAGTTTTAGCATAATTATAAACTCACAAGAGGTAGCAAAAAGAGTACAGAATTCTGTGAACCTTCAACTGGATTTGTCCAGTGGTGACATCTTGCAATGGACTGAGTGTGTCTCCCCCAAATTCATGTGTTGAAATCTTAATCTCCTTGGTGATAGCATTAGGAGATGGGGCCTTTGGAAGGTGATTAGGTCATGAGGGCAGTGCCCTCAAGGATGAGATTAGTGCCCTTATTAAAAAAAGACTCCAGAAAGCTCTCTTGTCCCTTTTACCATGTGAGGACACAGCGGGAAGATGGCCAGTCCTTGCACCAGGAAGCAGGCCCTACCCAGACACTGAAGCTGCCAGGGCCTTGGTCTTGGACTTCCAGCCTCCAGAACTGTGAGAAATTAACTTATGTTGTTTATAGGCCACTTAGCTACGTGTTTGGTTATAACACCCTGAATGGACTAAGATACAGATAACTGGAGTACAATGTCCAAACCAGAATATCAACATAAGTACACACTACTGTTAACTAGACTACAGAAGTTACTCAGTGTTCACTGCTTTTAAACCTGCACTCCTCTCTCTCTCTCTGTGTGTGTGTGTGTGTGCATACAGTTCTATGCAAGTTTATGTCAGGTGTTTTTGTCAGGTGTGGATTTGTGTAAGCAGCACTTCGGTCAAGATGCAGAACTGCTCCAACACCACAAAAGAACTCCCTCTTGCTACCTCTTTTTATTAACATCCATGCCACCACCCCACTCCATCCCCACCCCCTGGAAATCCCTAACGTTTTCTCCATCTCTGTTGTTTTCTTATTTTGGGAATGCTATCTGAGTGAAATCATATTGCACGTGACATTTGGAGTTTGGCTTTCTCCCCCACTAAGCATACGCTTAGCAACGTCTGTGCTGGTTGTTGCATGTATCAGTTGTTCATTCCTTTTCATGACTGAATAGTATTTTATTGTGTCAGAGTTTGTTAAACTATTTATACACTGAGGGACATCTGGGCTGTTTCATATGCTGTTATGAGTAAGGCTACTATGAACATTAGCATACAAGCTTTTGTTTGAATGTAAGTTTTCATCTCTCTGGGATAAATGCCCAGAAATATCATTGCAGGGTGATATGGTGAGTGTTTAGTTTTATAGGAAGCTACCAAAGTATGTTTTCATTTACATCAGTAATGTGTAAGTGAATCAGTTTCTCTGCAACCTCACCAGCATTTTTAAATTTAACTTTTCTAATTGGTGTGTAGAGACATCTCATCGTGGCTTTAATTTGGATTTCCCCAATGACAGTGTATGTGTGCATGTGTGTGCATGAGTGTGTGTGTGCGTCTGCACGTGTGTGTGCGTGTGTGTTTGTGCACGTGTGTGCATGTGTGCATGTGTGTCGTGTGCGTGTGTGTGTGTGTGTGTGTGTATGCTCAGCTGATGGCTCAAGCTTTTAGATTCTTCAGGGTCTATCTCAGCTTTTGAGTGAGGCTCTGCTCTTCTCTGGGTGGTCCCGAGTCAGTGACTGAGCCGAGTGACAGTTCAAGGGCAGGACCATCTCTACCCCCTACAGGAGTCCTTCCTCACGCCATCTTGGTTCTGGCCTCTTTTCCTTTTCTTTCCCGGGTGTTAGCTCCACAATAAATCTAACTCCATTTCAGCATCTCAGTGTCGGCTTCCTGGAGAACCCAACAAGTACAGCATGTTTCTTGGTGCTTCATGGTGTACATTCAGTCCATTTGACTCATCCATTCCTCCAAGGATGGATACTGAATTTCCTTCAAACTCCCACTGCCACGACAAATGCTATGACGAACATCCTTGTTCTCATCCCTTCATAGTCCTGGGGGAGACTTTCTTCCAATTAGGTATAATTTGTAGTGTGCTTTCTGAGTCATAGAGTGTATGTATGTTCAATTTCACCAAGTACATGTAGGCTATGTTACAGAAAGGCTTCATCAGTCCACATTTCCAAAGGCATGAAACCCACCTTAGACCCATGTTTGTGTTTCTGAAAGTCCTGCTTATATTTGGTACTAGATAATTTTCTAATTTTGATCATATCTTGATATATTTGTTATTAATTTGTTTTTTTCTGTGAATTACTACTTGCTTATATACTTTGCCATTTATAGAATGGGTTTCTGACTTTTACTTACAGATTTGCAAAAGTTCCCTATATATTCTAATTATGAATCCTTTGTCAGTTTGAGATGTTGAAAGTATCTTCTCCCTCTCAACTTTGACTATGGTTTCCTTTGTTGAATAGAAACCTGTAATCTTAATGAAATCAAATCTGTATTTTTTTTTTTTACCTTGTGGTTTATGATTTTTAGGTCTTGTTTAAGAAAATTTCTACCTTTAGGTCACAGATATTTTCCTACATTTTTAGTTTCACTGTTTATGTATAGATTCTTACTCTAGCTGAAGTTCATTATGTATTATATCAGGTAAGGATGCAGTTTTATTTTTCTCCACATTATGGGAGCTTTCCCCACTATAACCTACTAAACAGTCAGTTTTTTCCTGTTTATTTGTAATTTCCTTATATTCATGGGTCTCTGAGCTCTTTTTAGTTCCATTGGTCTATTGGTCTACTCTTGAGCCAATACCATGATTAAAAAGAATTTCCATGGCTTTATAGTGTAATTTAATATTTGATGGGACCAATCTCACTTCTTTGTCCTTCTTTCGGAAAAATGATTTCACCATTTGTGAGCCCATTTTTCGTGTGTTTTAGAATAAATTGATTAGCCCCTAAAATATTCTAGTTAGGATATTGGTTGGGATTGGAATTATAAAAAACATTTGAGGAGGATGGATATTTTTACAATGTTAAGCCATACTATCAAAGAGCATGGGTTATCTTTTTATTTATTCATATATTTCATTACATTATGATCTCAGAACATGGTCTGTATGCTTTCAAGTCTTTAGAATTTGAGACTTCTTTTAAAATCATTATTTGGTCAGTTTATATGAATGTTATATGTACACAATATACACATGCATTCTTTGGTTTGTGGAGGGTTATATATAAATATGAGTTTATTAAATGTCTTATTTAGATAATCTATGTGTCTGCTTGTGTTTTTGTCTACTTGATCTATCAGTTCTGAGATTTATGTATTAAAATCAGCAATATTGTTGGTTTTCTTCTTCTTGCTTGAGATTATGTTGTTAGATGCATATATGTTATGTATGTTGTATCTTCTTGGTCTATTATTTCTTTCATCAAGATATACTATACCTCTTTCAAGCAGATACAGACGTAGAGAGAAGGATATAATGAACCCTTTCAAATTCATCATCCAGCTTCAACTATTCATGGCTACTCTTACTTTATCCATACTACACAAACTCTTCCACACCCCTTCTACTGGATTATTTTGAGGTAATGACAAACATAATATCATTTAAAAAGTAAATAGACTAGCATCTATCTATAAAAGATAAGGAATTCTTTTTAAACATAATCACAATATCACCATCATACCTAAAAATTAACAATGATTTCTTAATACCATCAAATATCAGTGTTCTAATTTTCCAATTGTCTTATAAATATTTCTATGATCTTTACTTAAATTAGGATCCTAATAAGATTCATACCTTAAAATTAGCTGATACGCTTCTTGAGTTTCTTTTCATCTGTAGGTATAACATATCTCTATCTCTTTTGATATTTCCTGGCTATGAATTCTATTTAGTTATATATTAGGATGGCTACCATTTTGTAATTAAACTTTTTAAAGATTACAAAAACAATATATGAGTAAATGTTCATAAAACATTAAAACACATGTGAAAGTATGTTTTTTGTTTATATAAATAGAATTCTACAATGTTTATTATTCTGTGACTTGCGTTTATCACTTAACAACAAATATTGAAACATATACTTTTTAAAAAATCACAGCTTTATTGATATACAATTCACATACTATACAATTTATTCTCTTGAAGTGTACATGCAGTAGTTATTAATATATTTACAGAGTTGTGTGTCTATTGCCACAACCAATTTTAGAATGTTTTCATTACCTCTAAAAGAAACCCTATATCCAATTCTCCCCAATCCTCCCAGACCGTGGCAACCACTAATCTACTTTCTGCCTCTATGGATTTGTATATTATGAACTCTTCAAATAAATAGAGTCATATTCTATGTGGTCTTTTCGTTTGTCTTCTTTCATTTAGCTAATGTTTTCAAGGTACATCCATGTTGTAGCATGTATCAGTATTTCATTTCTCCTTATTGCAAAATAATGTTCCATTGTTTGGATATATGACATTTTGTTAATTTAATTATCAGTTGTTGGATATTTGTTTTGTTTCAACTTTTTGATTTTTATAAATAATGCTGCTAAGAACATTCATGTACAACTTTTTGTATGGACATGTGTTTTCATTTTTCTTGGAC